ATTCCTAGAAATCAGTCTTTCTTACACAGCAGCCAGAGATGCTGACTGTCTCAGAATGTAAGTATGGTTTGCAGATTTAGTTCTACAGGATAGGCATTCAGAAGAGTTCTGAATTACTTTGTGAAATTACAATACTATAGTGCATCCTCTGCTTGCAGGTGAAAATGTTCAGTCACTTTCATCCATTTTTTGGTATTCCTTGCAGCTGGTGAATAAGTGTCAGACCAGCTATAGAGTTGTATTAGGTCCCAGTTTTCATCTCGATCTTCAGATGTGTTGCCAGTTCTACTGAATTCAGTGGAGTTATTTCTGAGTTACACCGAGGTTCATATCAGAACCGTACTTATAGCAATACCTGGAGCTTATGGATGCTGGAAGTCATTAATGATGTGCTCAGGCTGGTTTTATGTGACAACCTCAGAGATTCTGTTGTCAGTGTCTTGGGGATTCTATTTTATAAGGTGGGAGTGGAATCTGAGTCTGGCTTTGTTGATCTGAGTGGCTATGGTTCTGTAATTGTATTGTAATTGTAGGGATCCCAGCTCCAGAGCCTTAAGATGAGCATTACAGTTGATGGGATTAAAGCAATTGTAGAGGAATTGTAGAGTTTGCTTTAGGTGATGGATCAGTAATGTACTTAGGAGGTAAGTTGGTGCCATGCAGGTAGCTATGGCAGTCAGTAGGCTTCCTATACAACATGGTGATGATGTGGCCATTGCAAACCTTCATTGTAGTGCAAGTGTAGTGACACAGCTGGGCACTGGAAGCACGAATGCTGCCAGTGCAATTGTGATTGTGTGGTTGCTGGCAGTAGCAGGTTTTTTTTCACCCACTTCTCCTCTGAGTTCTCACCTGGGATGGTTGCCCTGGACTGGTTGTCCCTACTTAGTTTTATGCCATTTTTGTGATGCCTAGGGTGAAAGCAGTGAAAATAGCTTTGGTGATTGGTGGGTTTCCGCTACAATGTAGCAGTGATTAATTTGCTGAGTGAAGCACTTCAGTGAGTTTGATGGATGGGTGACAGTTGTTAAAATCCTGGTGGAATTTCTCTAGATATTCCTTCTCATATGTCCATATGATGAAGATGTCATCAATGTGCTTTAGCTATATCAAGGGAATGAGAGGGCAGCTGTGGAGAAACTGTATTTCAAGGTCTGTCTTAAGTATATTAGCATACCGGGGGGGGCATACAAGTTCCCATTCCAGTGCAATTCATTTGTAGGTATAGGGAGTCCCCCAATTCTGAAATAGTGTGAGGACAAAGTGGGAGAGTGCAAAAGAAACAGAAGCAGGGTAATATTCTTTATGGTTTATAATTTGTTCTCATGGCGGATGTTCATGTACAGAGATGAAGTATCCATAGAAGCTAATATGGTGTCTGGAAGAAGATTTTCAGTGGAGCTCAGTTTCTTTGAGATCTGTGGTGTTTTTCAAATAGCTGGCAGCACCAGAGCATATTGGAATAGAGTGAACGTAGGATAGGATGGAGTCAACATAGCCAGAAACTCCCTCCACAGTAATGCCAGTGCCAGAGACAATGGGGCATCCTGGGATGCCAGGTGTGTACATCTTGGTTAAGAAGTACAAGTTGCTTGGCCTGGGTTCCTGTGAGGTGGAAAGCAGTAATATTTTCCTGTGTTTCCAGATGTCATGTCTTTGAGGTCCCCCGGTATTGTGCCTTGGGCACCTCGGTCATAAGTTTAGTAACTCCTTGCTGGAAAGATGCATCTCCACTTCTGGTTTGTTTGCAAGACTCTGTGTGTGTGTGTGTGTGCACACATGTGCACATGTGTAAGACAGTGAGTCACAGTGCTAACTTTGAGGCTGATAAGGGCTGAGCAAAAGAATAAAGAACTAAGACAAAGAATTCTTAGGGGAGAAGGGGAAGGTAAGTTGCTTCCTTAACTTATTAATGGATCCTCTAGCTGATTAAGAAGCATCATCAAGAAAAGCTAAAGTTCATTGTTGACCTCAGGATCTAGAGTAATTACTGTTTATGGGAAGCTGCAAATGTGGAAGCTTGGGGAAGTGAGAAGGGATCCTTTGGAGTTCCGCAGGTATGCTGAGGATGATACATTAGGTCTGCACAATGTCTTATTTGAGCCCTTAAACAAAAACTTTCTAAGGGACAGTCAGTCTTTGTGGGGGTGGAAATAACACTACTGATAAGCCTACAAGAGGCTAGAGCATCAGTTATGTCAGTATGGTTTGTATTTTGGTATCAAAAGCATGTCAAACAGTAACATAACAGTTTGAGAACTTGATGCTAATATGCTTATTCACTGCATGCTTTTAAAATGATCTAATTATCACTTCAGAAGTTGCATACATGGATTTTCTCTCTCTATGCCAAGGTTCCTCTTGTTTTGAGGGGGGAGAGAGATTCTGCAGGGCTCTCTGGTTCTTAGGATATCTCCAGAGCCCTTGTTACCAGCAGGCTTCATAGAATCATAAAAACTGTGGATGAATACTAGCTTTTAGGTCACCTGGGATTCTATTCCCTTCCCTGTCTCCCCATATCCAGAGTAGAATTGTTCCTTGCTTTACTGAATTTCACATGCCTGGATTTCTACATACCTCAGTAAGCCCTGTATGGCACAGGCTTAGTAATGCAGACCATGCAAATTCATCTGCATTCAGAATACCAGCAGGAGAGTGTCTTCAATGAGCCTTTTCAGCTCTGCAAAAATATTCTTTATGAAGGAAATGCACTGCCTTTCTTTTCTGGTGGAAACTACCAAGTATAAATGCCTCATTAACAACCTGCCAAGACTTTATTTTCCACATTTCAGATTCAACTTAGAGGGGTTGACAGGAAACAAGCAGAAGCTACACCCATTTCCTATTGGACAGATAATAGGCTGTGTATAAAAGCTCTGCATTAGTAAGTCCTCTAGACCAGGTACAGACGTTACACTTTTACCAGTGTAAGTGATCGGAAACTGGTCTATACCCATAACAAAACAGAAGTTTGGCACACACAGACTGGTTTAAAAATGGCAGAACCCAGTCTAAGATGCCCTCCAACCCCAAAGGGCAAATGTGTGTTCTGTTCACTACTGATCTAAACTATGCCACTTACAGAAAACTGTGCGACTTAGATCAATTCCACCTTAAGCTTTTTGAATGTCTATACCTAGCCCTAGTGTGCTGAAAGTGCAGCACTACAAATTAGAAACTAATCAGGTGGCCTGATCTTGTTCATGACAGACAAGTGTACTTACATGCCTCTCACAAGAAACAAAATAAAATGTCAGTCTGCCCCTGCCTATGGCTTGCTGCTTAGAACCAAGCTAGAAAGAAGTAAAGAAGGTTGGTGGATGCAGGTAGGAACATAGTATGATTTTGATTTCCATTGCACATTTCTAACACTTGTTCCTGAAATGAATAGTTCTGTCACAGAAAAACAGATATAAGAGACATCAGAATTAGGCTCCTAGAAGAATATGAAAAATGAAATGTATATGCAGTAAATGCATACAAAGTTAATGGAAAATAAAAGTAGTGGCTAAGTCTGATGTAGTATGACAGATATGCACAAAGCATAAGGGTACTTACACGTAAGCATACTTTCATCAGATCAGACCCATTTAATTAACATCTGTGGAGTTACATCAGTAGTAAATTCAGCTCATTGTGATTAATAGTGCTCTTACCATGAGTTTTCTACAGATTCATTATGACTGGTGCTGCAATAGTGGTCACCGATTAAATCTGTATTAATTATTTTTGTCGACAGTAAAGGGAAACTCAATGTAATGTGTTCCAACCTGAATTAGGAAAATGAAATAGTACACAAAGTTTTTACTAATTGCTTTCTCAGTTGAATATTTTATGAGCAATGAAGCCTTGCCAAAACTATGTCACCAAAGTACCCTTTGTTGTTTATTTTAACTGAGAATTCATCCAGTTTTTAATATTTTTATATACAGGTCAGATGACTACAACTGTCTCATACATATAATGGGCTCTTTTGTATTGTAACCACAAGCTTTTCCATGGCATGAAATTAGTTTTCTGTAGATGTTTCTTTTATTTAGGGAGAAATTGGTAACATAAATACGATTCTTAAAGGGATGATTTCTGGCTTGAACCAAATACATTTCCTGAAGATCAAACTGACCATCTCCAACCCAGGGAACAATGTGCCTCATAACATGCTTTTGCTCTTTGTTTTCCTTAGTGGGGGATAGGTCATGTGCAAGGGATTCTAAGCTGTTTCTCTGAATTGATGGGTGTGCTCCTTTAGCTCAAGCAGGAGAGGGTCATCCTTTTGTATCTGGTGATTCTAGGGGCACCACAAAGCTGGCATAAGAGGTTGTATAATTTCTCCCCAGTCCTTTCTATCCATATACTTCCTTTTGCCCAAGTTCCACTGCCCTGGATATTGCTGTCTGTTGAACACAACTGTGTTATTGCTGCTGATTTGCTTTTTAATTTCAAGATGTGGGCATTTATTTCACTGAGGAGTACAGTTGTGATCATGCAAAGACCAGTGTACCCTCAATGACTCTAGTGAAAGACTAGGACCTAAGAGGAATGATTACTAAGCCATGTTTAAAACAAGTTCTGCATAAGCGAAGGGTTGGTATGTCTAGTCGCCATACTTGCTACCGCCTGATATGAAAACACCCCTGCATAAGGGAACTTTGGTTAGATTTTCAGTCATTGCTGATCTTACCTTTTTCTTCAATTCCACAGAAAGTGAGTGAGAAGGTTGGAGGTGCAGAAGGAACGAAGTTGGATGAGGACTTCAAAGAAATGGAAAGGGTAAGTCTGTACACAGATATGAGAGCCTTGTCACACATTCACTTGCAACATTTGCAAATCATTGGCAGGTTGTGATGTATTAAAGTTAGTACCTGGTGTCACACATTCACTTATAAATCCTGGGAATATAGTGACTTATTAAGGTTAGTACCAGGGATTCTGGTTTTCTCTGATTTAAAAAAATCCCCAATATTTGGTTAAGAAGGTAACTCCAAATCCACATTTTTCTGTGATTTACATGAAACACCACTTTCTATATACATATATATATATATATAGAGAGAGAGAGAGAGAGAGAGAGAGAGGTGTTTCATTTTAATCATGGAAAGAAGTAGTTTTGAGATTAGTTTTTTTTAACTGAAAATTGGGGATTTTTTTAAATCAGAGAAAACCAGGATCCCTGGTTATTACATGATAGGACATAACCCTTACCTGAAAGGAAACAACTTTGCAATGTACAAGGGGACTCAGCATGTGATAAAATGCTTGAACTTGTTTGCTTGCATTTTAACTGCACTTAGTAAGTGTTAAGTTGAATTTGTGACACCACCCTTATTTTTATTTTTAGAAGAGATTTGCAAAAATACTTCAATAACTTAGGGACATTAGTCTTGGGACTTGCGTTCCTAAATTATTTAGGTGACTATGGAAAAGTTCATCCTTATTGTACAGCAGAGTTGCACTTACAGTCAATTTCTCCCATTTGTTGTCTAACAAAAAATTTAATTAACACAGAATTTAAAATAACATATAATACAGAGATCAGCAATGTCAAACTCAGTTTAATCAGTGTAGAGAACCCTGCAGGGGAAGAGTTTATCCAGAGGAATGAGAGTTCTTTCAGTCCCACAATCTTCATTGCATCTGTCAAGTGGGGAAAAGAGGACTGAAGGGATCTGACCAAGGCACATGGGGTATTTGCAGGTTCAAAGTTTCCCTGGCAACCTCCACTGACAAGGCTTCTTCTGAAACAGAGCTGCTGCTTAAAGATGTCTTCTCCCAGTTGAAGACTCACTCAGGGTAGGAGTGACAACAGCCATTCAATAGTGCCATTCAATGACTATGAACCCCTTTATTTTTTTGTGTAAGTCATCTATTACTGATGAAAAGGGAGCACAATAGCAATATATAATATCCAATAGGTACTTGCATGTATGTATGTGTAGATATAATTTTGCAAGGTCATCAGTGGTAGACATTTTTTCTGGCTTAAACTGGTTTGAACTTTGCCAACTGTCAGTAGGTCCCGTAACTCAGGCTATGGTTAGATATAATATAGCATCATCTTTCACTTAGACTCAAGTTGAAATGAACACGCCACACTAGCATGACCTGCATGCTGATATATATGTATATGCAAAAATGTTAGCTGGAATATAAAGGAAAAGTAATGTCAAGACCCCTTGAATAACTCAGAAACAGTGGGATTGATTTTATTTTCCTTTTCCTTTGAGATAAGTCCAAGCATAGAACTGTCACCTAAAATGGAATTTAAGAAGGTTATTGGCAATTGAAAATCAATGTAGGATTTATAATGGGAGCTAAGACAACATTATAGCAAGAGTAATTTTCATTTAGCCATTTTGACTGGTGTAAGAATGAGTCTAGAGAACAAAATTTGCTATTTGTCCAGAGAACATCAAAGTCCTGGGCACCAGGAGATTGCCACACCATTCTTCCTCAACCCTAATATTGGCCAGGTTCAGATATTCATTTCTACCAATAAGAATGTGTTACCTGTAGAAAACTAGGCTGGGATTTGGTACATACATATTTTCCAGCACCCTGGCTGGAGAGTTACACAGGCAGTCTCCAGCCAGAGGGCACTAGAGGGCTGTTCCTTGGGCCACCTCTGCCCTTCGGGAGATCCAATTCTTGAAAGCCTATTCTCTTCCCTGCCTGTCAACAGGTAGCCCCTGGGTTTTAAATTGTCTTGCATGCAGATCAGGTAGGCTGCACACTGGGTGTTTTAAAGCTGGAGGTGTAGAGAGGTGGAGCCAGAAGTAGCTTCCCTGACCCTGGGTCCCGGCTCCTCAGTTTTTAAATAACTGTGCGTGCTACACACACAGCACTTAGTCTGTGGGGCCATGAACTGGGAGGGGGATAGCTTTCCTGGCCCCAGTTCCTGGCACCCTTTATGTTCTAGCTGACTCTTTTCCCTTTCCTTCAGCTGGGCAGCAAGTGTGGCATTTGAAGCCAGGAGCTAGGAACTGGGCTTGGGGACTCCCACTCTCAGAAATCTCCTGCTTCAAAGTGGCCCAAGCCCAGGCATTCTTGCAACCATGGCACAGCGGTATCCCTCTTCCCACAAGCCTCTCAGTGGAACCAAAGCTATCTGAGGCTGCATAGCCTAGCAGCTATAGAACAGTGCTCTCCTGCCCCCAGCATGCCTTCACTTTCAGAAATGTTCTGTGTGTGGGCTTTTCTTTCTCAGTTGGAACCTTCCTGGAGCTCTGGGAGGGTTGCCACTGCAGGAAAATGGTCCCTCTGCCTGTCCCACGAATCAGCTGATTGGCAGGATGGATAGGAAGGGCAGGGGGAAGAATTCACCTGCGGCTGGAACCATCCTAGGGTCTGAGAGGTCCCTGGTTGTGTACCTGTTTCCCACTGCACTCCCCCAGGTTGAATCAGAGGAGAGTACTAGGTGTGGACCCTTTTCTGTGGCAGGGACCCTCCCAAGGCTCCAGGAGGGTTCCTACCTCAGAAGAATGCCCCCACTGCCAATCAGCTACTTGGCAGGATAGGAAGTAAGGTCCCTACAAGGTTTCCTGACAACTGTCCCCTGGGCAGGCTGTCAGGGAGCCAGTGCTCTCCCTCACTATTAGGAAGAGCAGGGGACTGTAGGGAGCTGGTTATCTCTTTCGCTTCCGCTCCCTCTGCCTCTCTTGAGAAAAGCATACAGCCATTCAAGTTATCAGGAGGAGAAAGTAACCTATTTAATTTCTTGCCATAGAACCAGTTTCAGAAGAAATCTTTTGAATGTCTGTTCTGTTCTCTTCTTGTATTGGGAGAGAGGCTTTTCTCCCAGTACAATGGTATATCTATACATGGCCATTGAGAGGCCAGCCTCAGGAAAGAGAAAATAGCTCAGTCTATATGCCCATTCTTTCAGTGGTCTCACTGAAGACATAACTAATACAGTTGGCTGGTTGTGTCTAATCTAAAGGTGTCTGTTAATACGGACACCACTCTTCTAGGAAGACCTAAGAGTGCTAGTTTATCTTCCTTGGGTCACTGAGCTGATGTGCATCTCATAGTATTGTTTTGCTATTCTACCTCCAGTCTCTTTCAGTCCTGTAGAATTTACACAAGTGGGGAATTAAACATTACAGATAAGTACATTTTTAAATGAAATTGTTCATCTTTTATGCCTTATGGACTTCAGAGTATGTACAGATGTTACATTAAGATTGACCTAACCAGACTTGGTCAAATCATGCAGGCATGCAGAGGGCGTAAATCACCCATGAAATAGTGTACCTGATCTAAGTTAGACAAACAGAACTTGTAGTGGAGATGATATCTTTTATTAGACCAACAAAATTTTTGCAAAAACATTTCTTTAATTGCAAGCTTTCAGGCGCAAACACCCTTCATCAGGCATTGTTGAAAAGATTGTAAAAGTTCTCCTGGGTATAAATGAAAGTTCGTTTTTATTGAACTTTCATTTTTATTGAACTCCTTGGGTAGAAATGAAAGTTCATCAAATGAAAGAACTTTCATTTCTACCCAGGAGAACCTTTACAGTCTTTTTTTCCAGTGCCTAATGAAGGGTATTTGTGCCCAAAAGCTTGCAATTAAAGAATTTTTTTTGCAAAAATCTTGTTGGTCTAATAAAAGATATAATCTCTACTACGAGTCCTGATTGCCTTTTCCTCTAGACCCATACAGCTACAACCTGGATACCTGATCTAAGTTAGTTCACCTAAGTTCACCCAGCCATTCTCCACAGCCTCAGACCTATGCTAGTCCAACCCCTTCACCCCTGAATGGGCTATTTTTAGCTCCCTGACCCTTCCCTCCCAAAGAAGCAAGCCCCTCCTGGACCTGCCAATCCTCCCCACCACCCCTCAAGGACTCCCTCCCTCCGTTTGATCCCACCAGCTTGAGTTACACTAGTTTCCCTGCATGGCTTCTGGCACCAGTGAACAGCTTTGCATGCTGCTCCCAGTTTAGTCATTTAAAATGAGCAACACAATCATAGACTAGGTGTAGAGAATGGCTGTATACACCCTTAGAAACACAAAGGTGTGATGAAACATCCCTGAGAATTTTAAGGTGAGGGCAGAAGTGTAGCAGTGCAATTCCACACTTGGGCTAAGTACAGACAGTCAAAAAACCCAAGGATGAATCGATTAAATCTCTGCAGGTTATTCTAAGCTGCAAAGATTGAACCAATAAGCAAATGAACAGACATTCACTTTTGATTCAGGAAATGCAGCCACATGCCTGCAGTGACTCAAGCCAGAAGCTGGGAGGCAGTACAGCGTGGCTCTCTGGCATGTAGCCAGCATGAGCTGTTATTGCTTTATCTTCTTTCTGCCCCCAAGGTCTCTGGGATTTGCAGTCCACAATCATAGCAACAGGATTCTGCAGGGTTTCTCATTATTTCCTCTTCCTGCTTCTAGGTACCTCTGGGATTTGTAGTTCACAGTCACAGCCAGCAGTAAGTTTTTAGCAGGGCGGCTCTATATTTGGGAGAAGGGAAGTTTAACTCCCCTCCCTGGCTCCAGACTCCAGTCAGGATTTGCTTGAGGGGAGCAATGAGCCAGCCACTGCTCCAGCTAGGGAGAAGAGGGGTGGGGCCAGCCTTGCTCTCTGGAGTAGACATCACAGCTGAGCCCAGGGCTGCAAAGCGTGCCCTGGATGCTAGGGAGCTCTGATTTAACTTAAACCAGGAAGGGGTCTGTGACAGAAGTTTCATGAACTGGTTTAACCTAAATCAGTTAAGTCTGATACTACATTCAACCAGGTTTATCTTAAACCAGTTTAATCCATTT